GCATCAATGGATAATGTCGTACATCCGTTGTAACAGGTGTTCATTGAGCCATATAGGCCATTCACTCCACTTAGCATCCTTCTATCCCTCAAAACACAAGCAAAGACTTGTACGGAATTCTCAGAAAGCTTTTTTGTGGATATCGCTCATCCGATTCGCTAGGTACTAGACGCTTTTACAACGCCTGCATGCACATGCATACACATACGTTTTTCCAGACATAGCGGTGGAATTATTTATGCAGACTTAAATATGTGCCTCTGTAGTACTCGACTTCCTTCTCCTCAGTTCCTTCCCTCCTTCCTCGTCGCCTCTTTGGGTTTCGTTGTGCTTTTTTTCGGGTGCCGTGTATTTATATAACATCTCAAATCTTCCTCCCTTCCTATCTCTCCCCTTTTTCGTTCTTAATAAGTTGCTTACATCGGGCAAGTGGTGGCTCACTGTCATCCGCCCGTCAACTTTCCTTTCGGAGTTTCTTATTGGTCTATGAATTGTGAATCAAATTTTGAGCAAATTATGGCAACAGTGGAGACTTGCAAGCAGCTACTTTAGGTGTTAAAGCTGTAATCGTTCATCCATTCGTCTGATCTTTCAGTTTATTTGTCATTCATCCCAGCCTCCCTTAATATCCTCTATCATTAGAATCCCACAAAATCATTGTCTTGGTGTAATTCACTTGGTGTATTTTCCATTCTCTGGTTATGAGAATGGGGGTAGCAGTATCTTCTTTTTGGGCTAGTGGACACGTATTGTCTGTGCCTTTCTGCGATTGTTCCCCCTGTTTCCCCAAATTGTCATAGTGGTGCACATCAAAAATTCTTTCCCACTGACCAAACTGTCAACCAAGAGTACTATCCATCGTCAGTGTTTCAGAAAAGCTGAGATCGCTCCATTTGAATCCACATAATACTACTTCACTATAGAGCAATTACCTCCTCTGAGTGGCTCACTCGGTAATCTTCATTTAACCATACACTTCGCCTGGATCTATTAGTAAAATAATATATTTGCAAGGAGCGAGTTTATTTCGTTTAAATCCTAGGGTTATTGGGGAGCTGCGGTAGCAGCAGCTCAACTGGACGTTTCACAATAATATTTGCTTATCCTGAGAGCATATCTTGTAGCAATGCTCAAACAATGAATAAGAACTGACACAAGTTCATTCATTGATGATGCTTCTGGCTCACAAAATTGGGAAAGCCTACTTTTCATCTCCACTGCTTTGTGTGATTACCTGCCATTCATAAAGTCTGTGTATGATCTCTCAGGACAGTGTATGAAGTTATTTAACAGGTGGATCCTGGGACGTTACTAACAGCTAAGTTGCAAACCAAGGAGGCTAGAAACTGACGTCAGGCAAAAGAAAATTTGTACTGGACTGTCTTTTGTCAGGAAATTCTCTGGGTTATGCGCGTTTTTGTATATTACTCTAGTTTTTCATTGTTACTTTTGAGAATCTGCCTATCCACTCCTTGAATGAAATGAAGGGAAGTTAACTAACTTCTCTACGGTCACCACTGTCACTGTTAGCAGCTACTCACTAGCTCCGATCTTTTTGTTTTGCCTTTAATTCCTGATTTTTGAAATGCTTTGACTGCCGTGGGTTCTCTCTTTAACCATACTCTTCTCTATTTTCCCAAACCAACGTTCAGCCAGAGTTATGTGGGTTATACAAGTTTTATACGTCTTGCTGAGATAGAAATGTAGGACAGTTTTGTGATTGAGTGAAACGTGGAACAGCAGCAACAGTAAGATCACAATCGTTATACATCCCAGCTGTAATATCATGTCCTTTGGGCTCCTTTTTTTCCGTCCTACTCGGTTGTTCATTAATTTATTTGGCTCCTGCTCTATGCCCTCTTCATGCTTTCCCCGGCCCCGCTTTGATGCATCAAAATGATACCACGTCCAGAAGACAACTAGTTCGCGAATTCCCACTGTTCACATTAACGGAGTGACGACTAAGGGATAGTATCCTTATTTCGCACTGCTACAACTTATGTTGAATCTGTAAAAACTGTTTAAAAGTCTGTTTGAAAGTTTCTTACGTTTCTTAATTCAGTTGAAAAGTTCAAACTTTTGTTATTAACTTGGTCAGGTAAGCAAGACTGAAACAAAAGTATGTTGATTTGACGTGCACTTTTGGAAAGATTACGAGGCATGTTTTTCGTCAGCTGGTTTTTGGCCTCCTTGTCCTTGTAGATTGTGACGTATTTCTATGGAAATATGGGGAACCTTATGAACGTTGTGGACCCGATGTGGCGAATCCTTAGTTCTCACGCCGGTATTATCACCTCTCTTCTCACAGGGACCACCTCCCTACTCTTTGCTGGCGGATCAGCGGTTCTAAACTTCTCCTTCTCTTTCGTACGTCCGATTTTTGACTGTTTCAGTAGCTGCATACCGATAAGAAGTGAGGCGATTTAAGCGGTTATTACGTAGTACATCTTCAACTTATTGACTATTTCAGAACTAGTTAAATCGTAATATGACGCTTACCTTTTGATTACGGGCAATGCTTTGTGTTGGCTAAAATAATTTGCAATGCCTTATTTACAAGATGCAATTTGTTACATGCTTCCGTATTAAAGGATTTTCAAACTTTTCTAAGTAGCATTACTACAAAGGTGTGGCGTAACACTACCCTGTTAATTTTCTCCTGTATTTACACGAATCTTTGTTGACGATCGCTGCGATTTACTGGCATTTCATAAAACTGCTCTGATTTGTAGCTGTACTCTTTCACTTCGGTGCTCTATCATGAATGATTAGTTACCATCATGCTGTCATAAAGTCTGTTGGCAAATTAACTTTATTTCTGGTATACCTTCGGTATTTTAAACCGATGGTGTGGCCGTTTGCTGATGGCCATTATTTAGAGGTTTAAAATTTTGCTTCTACATAACCATGTTTCAGCGTTCCTTCAAGTCTCGTGCTGGATGAAGAGGTAGCAATCTCGTCCTATAAATTGCACCCGTGGATCTTTGTCCCACACTTTGGGTGCGCATAGGTCTTTACTAGCCCATAGTGATTTCAGGCTTTCTCAATAATACGCTAACACAGAAATCCATCAGCAAGTTAACAAAATGTTACCGACTTTTGCCGAAACATTAGTTCCTTTAATTCACCTACACGTGCATTCTGTAGTTGATATTCCTCTCAACCCTCTTCTACCTACTGGCGGCAAGTAAAAGAAATTACCTGCCGGTCGAATTTGTCGTGTCGCTAACGCCCCAGAGATGTGAGGCTGGTCCTGCAGTTCTCTCTTTTTACACCTCCGTCGAGGTAGCTGTCACTAGCGTTGTGGTGACGACGCTCAAACGCACCATCTTCTACGGCATGTATACTCTCCTCACTCATACTCTCTTCGGTCTCGACGTCATTGTTCTACCCTCTAGTACGTGCCTATTCAACCTTCATTGTTTTTATTTGAGGGCGGATACTTCACCCTTTTCGATTTTAGTGCTCTATTTAATCTCAGCCCACGGTTTTTAAAATGTTCAACAGTTGCTTTTTAGTCCAAGCTACTATGATCGTGCCTTTATGCGTTGAAAATATGCGAGACATGGCGACAAATCTACTTTACAAAAAGCTTCAAGACTAGTAAAGCTGATTTCCTTAGTACATGGGACTTCCGGGATCCCGTAGGAAGGAGAAAACTGCAATTGCAACTAATTCATCTACTCCATTTTTGCTTATTTTAGCATTAAATAAATATCTAAGCAGGTTAAGGCTCAAGACTGTCCCAATTTGTTGCGTTTGGGAGAACTGTATGGTGGCCGCAGTGAACTGCTACTTCAATAATTGGCCTGAACTTTTTCAGACAAGCATTGATGTCGTTAACGTCGTCTATGGGTGGTTACCTGTCCACTATCTAGCAGAAAGCAGGTTTTCCATACGTGATATTGCTAACTTCTGCAAAAATCGCAAAGGCCAGGATGATAACTGACAAACACAGGAAGCCTTTGAGAAGTGTGCAATTTATTTCAACGCTGGAGTGAACTGTTCCCGAAAGCGCCATCTTCGCGCCGTCCTTGAAGTATTTTATGGGTGGCTGTTCGTAGGTCTCGTACATTCATTCAAGGAAACCTTTATTTTTAACGCTCAATGTCTCCTGGCCACTAACACGACGTGTGTTCACCGTTGTGCACATTAACTAGACGCATATACCACTACCCACTGTAGACAGCACGGTTCACGTAGCGTGTGTTTCTATGCCGTCACTTTCAATTGGACCTCTTTGGCATGTCCTCAGTTGAAGAGGTTTAGCATCTATTCAAAAAAGAGAACAAAGAACGAGTTCTTCTGTAGTCTTCTCCCAAAATGGAATTATTGAAGTGAAAACGGTTATGAAAACATTGGTTGCCACAAATGTCTTTTTTCCAATCAACTTATGTATTATCGTTTCTCTTTCTGATATCTTAGCTTTCAAATTTCTTCTGGACATAGGGCGGCACTATAGAAAAAGACCTACCACAGAAATGATAGCATAAGTTTATTTAAAGATTTTCCAATTTCATTAAATTAAGCTGCGAAGCCTAGAGTTTCGGCGCAGAATGAATTAATTAAAGTGAGCAGTTGAGTAGTTGAATTGGCGTCTAATGTGAATATTGCAAAGGAGTAGGCTGTATCTATCATATTAATAACCTATATCAATGCTCGACATAGCACGCAAGTGGAATGTGGTTTGGAGTCATGATTATCCGCTTTTGGCGATTATACTTATTTTTTTTTGTGCGAAACCCCCCATTTACTAAAATCCTATTTTCCAACATTCAACTGACATAATTTTGAAAGTAAATGGAGAATGTTACAAGCATTGGCATTTATTTCTACCTACTATTATCCATAGCTCGTATATTTTGCGCTTTGTTTTCGCAACACTGTTTTGTTCGGTGCTTCGAGGTGTAGCTATGGCGCCATCGCTATGCTAACGGTACTTTCTCACTGACACATTGGATTTCAAATCCTTGGTTTCACTTCGCCAACCTGTTGCCTTAGAATCTCTTCAACTCTACTCTGTAAAATTAAAAAAAAACCAAATGATTGTCGAAAATGTGTTTTAGTCATAATCGTTTTCATGGAAATTTGGTTTGTGATTACTTAAAAGAAGACTTCAAGCCTTTGTATGTAATTACGAATGTTTCGAGATTTTTGAACAGTAGAGCATTGTCTCTTCGGAACCATTTCAATGCGTTTCCCTCTCTCTCCTGTGTGAGAATTATCTTATTTCTCTACTTCGATGGAATCTTGCGTTATTATATAATTACGCAAATAATTCTGTGTTTTGACCGCCTAGATGTTCATATTTCGACTTTTCATTGCACGGACCGAAGTGAATGTATTTAAAGAGTCACATGCGTCTATTGATGTGAATGAACATCATTGAGAGTCAGAAACGGTTCATTTTTGCATTATCAAAGATTTTATTCAAAACCGTTGTTATCTTGTACTTACTAGAATAGTGAGGTGAATGCAAACTCGGAAATTGGCTGCTCTCAGCTGCATGTTTGTTCTAACCCTATAGTTCTTGCCATTTTAGTTCTTCAAGAATTGCCTGTTGTAGGTAAATGTAGGATTAACTTGACTACAGGTGACTTATTGTGTGGGATAATCAGGGGCTTCACTCAGTAAAATGTTTTTAAGGTCTTTTCCTCTTGCACTCATTTCACTTGGAATTGATTGGAGGGTAAGAAAGCACGAGGTGGGAAGTCGTGCCAATTCAGTGCATAGTACGGGAAACTAAAACATTCATCCTCATCACCTCCACATGCGAAGCAAATGGGCATTATTAATGGGGGTGATTGGATTGCCTTTCAATTGACGGATTGGTTTACCTTTAATTACTCGAGATCATTTCAAGTCAGTCTCTTCAATTCCCTTATTTGCTTCCAAGTTTCATGTCGGCCATCTTTGAGGCCTTTAGAGGCAGATTATTGCATTACCTGTTTTCTGGCATCTAACCGGGGGTGAGTTCCTTTAATAGACAGTATTGTGCAAGTAATGAAGTTTTTAAAAGTACAAATTTTAACAAATTATTGCCTTATCTCCGTGTTTAGGGTTCATGGGAAATTATCTGATGTACAAATAATTGAGAGAATGGGCGTATGTAATCATTTGGGAATCTACCGCCACTACGATGAGCTCGAACTCACCGAAGAACACAGGCTTCTTAATATTACTCTGCTAATTCTTATGATCAAGGTGTAATTTTCTTGTCCACCTCGGGGGCTTGGTCTAATATCCAAGCCATTCTACAACCATTTACGACATGAGGAGCCAATCTATTTATGTCAGTAGCTCAAAACATTTGACTTTTTTTAACAAAAGCAGTATTGAAAGAAAAGGATAAAACTGAGTGCATTCCTTAGGTTCTCGGGCGTATCATCAGAACTGCAGTCACACTGCTGTTCTTAAGCAGGAAACAAGTAGCCTTTTCCAGTACTAAAACCAATCAAATTGCTTGACTCTAATTTGTTCTGGAAGCCATTCTATGAAAAGCTTTTTGCTGGTGTTCTATGAAGCTAGTCATTGATTGCCATATTTTAGTAATTGCCACAATCCTTGGGGCTATTCCACTTGTGGGAACTTACTGGGTGGTGCTGCCGGGCGCTGTGGAGCTCTGGTGCCTCCGTGGATCCTATTGGCTGGCTCTCCTTCTCCTCCTTCTCCATCTACTCCCCTACTCCTTTTTGGACACTGCATTTTACAGTGAAATAAAAGGGTAAACCATTCATCGCTAACTCTAATTAACAGGTCTTGTAGAATCAAGCTTAGGTTACTGCAATGCTTTGCATTTCATAAACTTTTTTATAACGGAAGATCATAGTTGTTACGCACAAGTGGGTGGGCTATTTACCCAGTCGCTTATAGCGTCCTTCGCTCTTAAAGTCGCACTTATTTATGGTGAAGTTGTGTGTATGAGCTGCCCTTTTTGATGCGTGTCTTTGACAGGCATTTGAACCACTTCGCTTCTGCTATTTCTTCTACTTTAGGCCGCTTTCCTTGCACATCCTTTTTGATCGCCCTAAAGTTGATATAATCACACTCTTTACTCAATCTAAACTGCATTCTTCAAAATGCCCCTTTTGTGGTAGCGTTGTTTCTATACTTGAATGCACTTTCTCTGATGTTAGGCATATGAATTTTACCCTCAATTTTGAAGGACTTCTCCTTCAATTGGATGGAAGTCCTCATATGATAATCCCTGATATCTGTCTTAGCTGGTTAAATAAATTCGGTGTCCCACACTTCGCATTTTTACAATTTCCAAAAAAAAAATATTTGACTCTCCCCTTTTCATCCCCATTCCAGAAGTTTCTGAGAGACTCATTTAACGATTCCTATTTTCCCCCCAGTCACTAGTAGATCTGACACTTTCGTGTCCTCGAGGTCACTTAAGAGCACATAAATTGCGGTAGAGTTGAAATCCCCTGGGCGTATTTTGAGAGCGTTAGCATCTCTCCTCCCCAAGATCGCTTGTACACATGTTAGGGTTCCTGCCTCGTGAATTCGGAAACAGGAGCATTCTGTGTCAGCCAGGCCGGTAAAGATATCTGCTGCAAACCAGCATTAAAATGAATGAGATGAATTGACAATGGTCCGTTTTTTAACATGACTTGATTCGTAGGTTGAAGCAAATAGCTCTTGCGACTTTAACAGCATATTACAAAACTCTGAGGGCTTCACCCGAAAGTTTTTCGTGAGACAAGGAGAATGTTGACATGGGGTCTGCCTCTTCTGATGACCCAACTCTACTTAGACGATGCTTACCAACCGAATGAGTGGGGTTTGTAGTGTGAAATCATTTGGAACGTCACAACTTAAATTTCCCCAATTTTTATTTTCTGGAGGGATGTCTATGGCGAAATAACTTCGAACTGTTTTCTCAACAAAGGGATGTTGGTGTGAAATGCTCCCGATGAACGATATAAATATCATAATACGGAAGAGTAATTGGTGCAACCATTTTCATGAACAAAGTAGGTAAGAATGGCTTTTCTCTGTACCAATTTTGTTTGCTTCAAGCATGCGATTTTTTACGCCATCGTAGGCATAGGCTTCCGGGACCCAATGTAGCCCCATCACGATGGAAAAAGAGGGCTGTTAGAAGAGCTTCTCGATGCATGTTTGTTCTTTAACATGATAAATCCCGCAATTTTCGCACCTAATTGCTCTATGTCGGCATAGACGAGACGAATTCCATTAGTCCTCTTTTAGGAGAAATACATTAACATCTACCTTTTTATTGTGCTATATGCTTTGCTTCTAATTCTTTTTACTCGGATACCAATCTGTCGGGGAAAGTCTCATTACGTGGGGTTAATATTTTGAAAGCTACATAAACACAGTCGTAGAGCACCCACAGAAACCGTTTGAAGGTGTGCATTGTAATAGAGATCGATTGATTGGTAGAGCGTTTTTGGAACTACGTTTGTTCATATTTCTCACTATCTTCAGCATGCATTGCAACCTGACGAGGTTTATTGGTATCATTTAGCAGCAACATTTCCAAGAAATCACCTTCAGTTCATGCAGTTTTATCGAATATAACTTTGGTTTGGGAACAACAACCTATTTTTTAGGTGATAGCTATCTCATCAGCTAAGCATCCTTTTTACAAATCAAGCATGAAGTTACCATAACATTTGCCCACTAATGATCATTTCAGACATTGCAAAACTCGCCCTTACACGTAAAACCAGTACACTAATCCGGCATGTTGAATGTTTGGTCTGAATTTTCAACGGAAAATTTTTCATAACCAAAGCAGTTTATTTGTGTGGTCGATACGACTGTGGTGGATTATATCTATATTCATCAGTGCCACCCATTGTTTTTAACGAACACGCAATAGGCATCTATGCAATTGGTTTTAAAGTAAAGTTCTAACTTCGGCCTGGGTATTTTTAAAGCGTTTGAATCCGTACATCTGTACTTTAAAGGCACTTCGGTAATAGGTTAATGGAAAACTAACAAGAAGGCTCACTTACATTCTTACTTTATAGACTTCGCATTCCTCTCAGGCTTTACCTTTTTTACCATCTCTCACCAAGGATTGAAGGATCTGCCTGACTAATACATTGAAGGCATTTTGGCAAACCATTCACATTCACCATTGCTTCCCTATTTCAAACATCCCTCACATTATTGAACTAGAGTGGAATCACTTTGGCGCACCTAACTCTCTACTAACAAAGGAACCAGTTTTGGTTGGACATAAAACACAGTATTATGTAGTCGTTTGAGAAACTTTTATTAGTCTGTGGAGAAACGTAAATGCACTGACAAACTTTTTGACGTTGTCTTAGTAATAATTTATAAGTGGCTGTCTAATTGAAAGGGCAGAAATGACTTGTTCTGATCATTTTTTTTTGGTTTCTTTGACACTTACTTCTTCCCTTTCTGTGGCAGAGATTGGTGTATTAAGGATGTGAAGTTGCTGAGATCATTAAAGGTATGGCCATCATGGTTCAAATGTAAGACTGCAGCATTTTTAAATGCTCAATAGCTTTTTGACAACACGATGACTGATATTCAGACATTTTAAAAGAAAGTATGCTTTGGAGTTTTAAACCAGCATTAATCCTTGTAGATTTTTAAAATTGACATCGCACTTTTGGAAAACATGGGCTACTCTCCGCGAGAGCTAATGACAATGGGCGGTGTTTTGTTTACAAGTCGGGTTTCTTGGGTGTGCAAGAATGTGTGGGTGAGTGAGCGTGTGGGTACGCTACCACCATTAAGAAGGGATGAAAAACCACCAGGCATTTTGCTCGGGAGTAATGTACTGTCATGCAAGGCTCTATTATGGGTGAAGACTTGGAGAGGAATGGAGAATAGGAGTAGGTGGAAGTGTCTGAGAATTCATTTCGCACCGGCTATTAAGCAAAATAATTTCAATTTTTTTCACTTCTTAAGGTCTCCCTTCTTCTCTCCTGTCCCACTCCTCTAGTATCTCCTTCTGCCCCCTAATTGACACAAAATCATTGCGTCGCACGCAATATACCTTGCCGTCAGTAAAATCGGAAAGAAGGGTAGTGGCATTTGCGTTGGTGTTGTCGTGGTCTTTGTAGCCTAAGTCAGTGCAGTGCAGTTCTGGATTATGGTATTCGAGGTTTGAGCACATCCCCCACATTCTCCATCTTGCCTACTTCAGACACACAAATCCGCACCAGTTTTGTTCGCTGCTAAAGCGAGTATATAACTGGACATAGACATGGACAGTCAGAAACAGGCTGCAATCGAATGCTGTACCGACTACTCTTGAGCTTTTTCCCACTAATTCTTGAGGAGCTGACGAAAGCATAATTTTTACGTGTCTTAAAGGGTGTCCTTTGTAGTTGGTACTTTTCATTCAGTAAGGAAGCTGCCTGTTATAGTCGTCGTGCCGCCTCGCTCTTAATTTTGTTCAATGGAAATAAAGAGGTAGGCTTATTAGCTATTCGTATCACTTTGTCAAGTTTCTTTTCTGATTCACAAAGACTATAATTTTTGCTATATCATTTCTAGCTTGCGCTTCCAAACCTATACGCTTGGACCTGTACAGAGAAAAATGTGCGTCTCCTATTTTCGTTACTAAACGATTAAAGGTGAGAACTAAGAACAGAGGAAGTGGTGGTGTATTGGCTTGAAGGCTGTCTTTCGAGTCATGTTAACCGTACCTACGAATGGCGTTGGATCGAGTTGCTTGAACGTGTTCTCGTCCGATAAGGTCGCGTAAAGGAGATGAATAGAAGAAGTGGATGAGGAGAGAGGAGGAAATACTTCGTGTTTCCGTGTATTTTAAATGTGTTTACTAGGTGTGCTCCATCTATCCTGCATCACATAATGAATAGATTTTGCAAAATCGGTGTAGAAGTGATGTTAATGGGTTGAATTAAAGCAACTTCGATGTTAATATCTACGAAAAAACGATAATACGCTTATTCAATTACACTAATTTGATCAGCATAACTTTGGAAATGTTTTCAGCCAAAATTTACTGAAGGCTTGTGATTAACTTTTCAATAGCAATACGTTACTGCTTGGAATTGTTCATTTGGTATAGGATTCGAAGTGACATCCCGATCACAACCGTGTTTACACTCTTGCTATCCTAGTATTCACGAGGTCAGTACATCCATGCAAAACAATATGCAGAATAATTTTTCATCCCTTGATCTTTTTATTTTTCCATCCCCGTCGATTTGGGTTGCTTTCAACATTTTGTGCGCTCTCGCTGGCATTTATCATCACACATTCATTCATCCAGCGAGACAGGCAGATGTCACCTTTGAATTCGCTTTTGCCGTTGGCTCAAATACGTATAGTATCCTCCTGATCAGCTCGCACTGCAAGACCCTTTTTCTTCTTCTGAATGATTTGACTTGGCTACTGTTGCGGTGTTTTCGTTTCAAGCAGTCTATAAAGTTGGCGCTGCTTTTTGCTGAATGCCTGCTTTGGGATGCGGACAGTACCTCACTTTTGTTGTAAGGGAGAAATCAGACGATGTACCAATCTAAACACTCGCTTGTGATGCTGCATCAGAAGTGATTGACTAATAAGATGAGGTAAAGGGAAGTTCATTGCTGCTAACCCAACTTTTCAACAATCACTCTGGAACTTTAATCTCTGTCACAATGCATAACAATCTTCTCCTGAAAGTTCGCGTTGTCACTGCATGGAGATGCGGTATTCGCGACTGCACAACAGCTGCTATTCCGCACCTCAAACCAAACTGCGAGGCGGATTTAAAGCTAATGTGGCATCCCATTTCCATCGTTTATCATTAGGGGTATTCTGCCATTTACAATAGAGTGATATGGACTCTTCACAAAACAGTAAAGGATCAAAGCACCTCCCCCAGGGATCTTTGATGCTTGATGTGGGTTCGGGGTCTGAATGGCGTCCTCGCGGACAGCGGTCTGGTGCGTTTGGGACAGCTGCGCACGGCTCCGACATAACTCTGTCGAAATTACTAACCAGCGTAATTTTTCGGACGCAATTCAGCAATTTAAGGTAATGCTTATTTTGGAATAGCATGCATTCGCGTGCTGGTTGCAAGCCGTTGTCTAAAAAATGCACGCGCTGTGGATAGTTTTTGAGATCTAAATTATCACTTTGGATGGCACTTCATTATCTCGCATCCTGCATTTGCAGTTTTATTTACAAACACTCAATTTCTTCCTGTCAAGCTACGTTAGCCATTTTGAGATTTTACGTGCACAGTTCTTGAACATTAATTGTTCCTAAACGGCATCCTTACGTGCATTTTGGGTTTATGTGTAGTTTCCTTGAGCGTCTAGTAGCGTCCTGTCCGTTCTTTAAAATATTTGCAATTCTCACAACCAGCTTGGCTTATTATGCTAGTAGTGGTTTTTACAACACATCTAAAACTTCACAGGCGAGCCGAAAATGCCTTTCTTTTCGCCTCGTCTAAATCGTTCACTCTCCTATTTACCTATTGTTCAGCTGATGTGGGAGAGAGTGTTTACAATAGTCATTGATGTTATCATGCTTTCAAGCACGCTCCGATAATATGCATCATTGGTATTTGTTGGTACTAAAACTTGCATTCGCACCACACACTGCCACAGAGAACGGGACCAACCACCGCACTGAATTTATGAGGCACAGCTCAAAGTTAATCGTACACATGTTACCTTTTTACTACGGAGTTTTGAGTTGGAAGTAGATTTCAAAAGACAAATGTCCTTATAAATTTCAGGCATCGAAAATTTGCACAGCCTTAATCGCTGCCTCCTGACTGCTGGGTATTTACTCACACGCAATATCCAAGGCTTCATTTGGTTTATGAAGCAATGTGAACTCTTTTAAACGCTTAAGAAAGTACTCAAGAACTTGAAAATGGTGTTAGGGTTCATCGGGATCTTGTATACCGGAGTTTTATTCAAATTTTTATAAATATTGTCGCGGTTGCTTCTCATTTATTGTTATAATTTGTAAAAGCTCCGAGTTATCAATAGCTGCGTTTCATTTTGATGCCTTCAAGCAGCCGCTTTTCCTTCTATTGAGTCACCTTTACTGAGTTCATCAGAATTGGGCAATCACCATATGCCAAAATAACATAGTCACTCAGCTTATCTTACTTGAAGGGGGGATGAGGAGCGGCGGTTCCGTGAGGCGCATAACCTTTTACTTGAATAGGATCGCACCCGTTCGGTCCGAGCTCTCAAAAAACGGAGACCCCTTTGTAACTAGTTGGGTCTTGGGTTATTAAAGCTCGTCTTTCTGGTCAATGGGGATGCTGACATGGACCATATAATTTGGTCGCATTACTACATTACTACTCAATTGCGACAGCTTTTTATTGGTGTCCAATAGGCTCTCTTCATGCCCACATTGTTGCCGAAGTTTTTGTTACAATTGGAACTTTCCATTGGCTCTATATGTTATCAAAGCATTAAAAGTTGTGTCACGGGCTATGTGTTCGGTGCAGATAGTCGAGTTAACATTAGTTAAGGCACTGCGAATGCGGCAAAATGGAGAATCTCATGGTGAATCAAATGAGGTTCACAGTTGTACTCGTTTTGAAAGCTAATCTTGTTTTATGCTAGCGGATAAGCGTGGGCTCTCGGAATCATTCTTATTTAAATAGGCGTCTGAATTTGGAAATAGTTTGTGCATTGTTTCCTTTCGCTCTCTCCTGGTTGTCAATAGAGATTCTGTAATTCTTCTACAAGCCCCATTTATGATCTGCTTGAAGATCACTAAAGTGCCGAATGTTGCAGTTTGGATAATTAGTTACTCTTTCGGGGGGGAGAGGGTATGGTGAAAATGCCATTGTATTGTTCAAATTGTTTTTCTCTACGTTAAGCAAAAGTGGACATCCAAGTGACTTGATTACAGCTAGTTTTCTCACAGCAACTACACTAAAAGGCTGATATACATTGCTCCATTTCCAATTATACCGCCTTTAGCGCTGGTCACCCATATCTCACTGGCCTTTCGATTGCGGGTGGTCTGTACTGCTTTGGGACGGAGGGCGTGTTCATCGGCCCAGTGGTGCTGTGCTGTATGCTGGTTGGCGTAAATCTCTTTCGTCTCCTCCTCACGGAGGAGACAGGGCTAGGAGGTTCAGATCTCACGGACAGATCACGGAGGACATTTCAGAACTACCCCTTCCGAACGCCTCGCACCTCGATGGATTATCACGCGCATGTACTGAGGGCGCACAGTGAGGGTGTTGCACACTAATCTGACGCGTAGCTGACTTCCATTCTACTTTCTGCATATACGTTTCGTCTCCTAAATGGCTTTCATTTGCTGTACAATAGCATGTTCAATTCCTTTTGTTCTTGTCTAAAAGGTTTTTTTGGGTATAATTGTATGAAGTGATCCATTTCGAGCATCCTATTCGTAAAATTGGCATATGAAATTGTCCTCTTCTTTAGTTAGAACTGAAATAAAGTTAACGTGAACAGTAGTTGAACTGTCATTTTGAGTTATGGAAAATTTTCTTCTTAAGGTAGGATCATGAGAATGCATAATTATCCAAGTTCCAATTTTTCTTTAATTTGACTGCATGAAGGGCTTTTAGATTCGAGCACCGGAAAATTGGGTCCCATAAGAACTTGGAAGTTCTCGTCAACCTGCACTGCTAAGTTGACATATCAGCATTTTCTTACCATTGGTGACGGTTCTAGGTGACATTTCGTAAACAGCAGTTTTGAATTCATGAGTCGCTGGCATCTTGATAAAAAGTGCTGCATGAATCGGAAAACGAGCGTCTAAACTGTAGAGCTGCTTGATTTTCACACGGCTTGACGCAGAAAAAGCGCATTGCAGGGATACTGTGGATTAAACTTTTTTCAAATGCGATTTGAAAATGGCGGTTATTCTTGCAAGGTTACTGAGCCTTAAGCAGCTTCGTATCCAAAACGTGACGCGTCCATGAAAGCCAAACTAGTGACTTTGATAGAATTGGATTGAAATCGGTAATGGCAAGCCAGAATTGACGTGTGAATCTCAGCACTAATTTCCTATAATCATTTATTGAATTTATTCGGGAAAAATCGTGATTAATGTGATTTTGTAGCACTTAGATCCGTGTTTCATTCTTACGTAGACACCGTTGAGAAGTACTTATTTGCCGTTGCTAATGCTGGGAACTATCGCCTTATTCTCTTAACTAAGGAGAGTGCTAGAATTGAATGACAGTCGAACTTGCGAATGAGGCTTTTTAGATTGAAATACAGATAAGTGTGGGACGCACTTATAGATTGTGGTTAAGTGAATAGGAAATTGACTCAAATTTCGTCTACAATTATAACAAGCACAAGTAGATTCGATTTGTGATGGTTCAGACCTTCAAATTCTTGTAATACTCAAACCATTAACAAACTTAGAGGTGATCCGTTTATTTTTTGTGAAGCCATAAACTTGGCTAATGCTAAGTATAGTTTCCTGGGTTAGTTATAATATGAGTTGAAAGCGCCTATTTGCATAGAATCCGGACGCCCGCATTTAAGCAGTCACTGAGAAATGAAGTGGGGACTGCCTCCGGAAGCATAGGCAAATGACTAGGATGGACAGCGACAGCTTGGTTCCGTGAACTGTTTTCAATGTACCATCGCAATCCGCCACAAACCGAGACGACTGTTTCCCACGCTGATGAAAGCCACCAAACTGTAGTCCCTTTACTCATTTACTTTTCTATGTTTAAACATAGTGAATAGTGGAAGAAATGCTGTTGATTCACCCGTTATTGAAACGTTTTCGAAAGCGTTTTACCGAGGCACACTGCAACTAGTCCGGCATTCCCACTTTACGTACCACAATTAATATTTCTTGATAATGTAATATTTTGTCCATCATAAATCCCTACATTTGTTATTTAGGTTCCCTTTCGTATTGCAAACCTTCGAGGGAACTATGGGCTTATTCACATCAGGGGTTTTGCGAAACCAGCATTCCCCAAATCTTGAAGTGGTAGCAGGACTTTTGTTTGCACCTGTGAAGGATGTCAAGAGTTAGTGCCATTAAAGGCGATTTCAAGATAAGTGGAGACCTAGACAAGAAGCTGAGAAAATGAAGTGAGAATGTGGATCTTTTCAAACGAGGCGCACCAAAAATGATTTGATTACTTGCAAGAAAGCTTTTGCAGTGAAGGAAAATTCCGGTTTAGATGCTTGCACTGTCAAAATGCAGGGACTGGTCACTCGTCACAAGGGTATCTGATATAGAGGGGAAATCTCAGGCTTAGGTTTTCCTGCTCTTGATACGCATCACTGCTGCACACATTAATTGTTTTAAAGATTAACCGCATTAGGTCCTAACCAAGGTGTTTAATGTAGCAACACTTCCAATGGAACATGGTTGGCTGGAGTGAATTCGATTGCGATATCATAACACTATATCAACTCTTCAAAACAATTAATTCATGAGTTTGGTACATTAATCCCCTCCCAAAAGGAATTATTAGCTCTTGACTTAAAACATTAAAAAATGTAGTGAAGGTTTGCTGAGTAGTTGCATTTAAGTGCATTCACAACAGAAATCAGAATGAATTGGGGTAGTCAGTTTGTCCTAAAATTGTGTGGGGAAGAGAATGAAGCAGCACTAAAGAAAGTTCACTTTGTTACTACTGCGGGCATTCAAAACAAAAGACACCTTCACAGGATTGTGAATAAGAGAGAGAGTTCTGGGTGGGGAGGGAAGGAACAGATGGGAGGAGCTGAGGAGAAGTGTGGGTGTAGTAATGCTGCAAAAATGAAAATGGCACTCTCCTCTTGTGCATGCTCAGTGGGGCGTATGGTTCTGAAGCAAAAGAATACAATACTGGCGTTGCTTTTTCTTTCTCTTTCCTCTCTTTCACCTTTGTTCATAATTCTTTTGGACTCGGATGTCAGGAGTGGTGCCACGTGTGCTAATCAGCAGTCACGCTAGTCAATATCCACTCACACAGAAGGCTGTAGCTATACAACAGTGCATATCTGATTCCATCTGTCAAAATACAAGCCTTGACATGGTGCAATGCATATACTGAGGTAGTATGAAGAAATTATCAACGCTTAATGGCACTTTTAACAACCTGACGGTTCTAATAATGAGTCTCCTTGCACTCACTTCTGAGTTCGAAAATAATAAGCGTTTTAAGAACTGGGTTGTAGGCGCGACGGCCTGTCCCGATACATGACTTAGATCCAAAAGCAGTATCGTAAGTTGAGGTGATTAGTTGTACTTCTTAGCTTTCCGTGCTTCATCTACAGAATTGCGTCAAACACATTACAACCCGTGAAATTGCAAGTCGCCACGGAAAATAAAGTGCTCATGCGCGACCCCCGAATAAGACTTGTATAAGACTCCTCCTGGGGAGTATTGGAAATAAAAAGGCGAAAGAAAGCTTAATTCCTTTAAAAAAAGAGAAATTACATTATTTTAAAAAGCAAAGATTATTTTGCTGGCTTTAAGATGACATGCCTTTTTCGAGAAGGGTAGAATTTAAGAGCACCAGTAATTGGACGTGTTTTGGCCAAAATTAGCATGATTTTGTATCCATGCTCTTCCGCAACGCTTAGGCACGGCACCAAAACCCAACACATCTTGATGTCGAATTATGCTCTCTTTCGATTGGCACGGCAATCCCAGACGCTAAACGAGGCGTAACAGCAAAAGTGGGGAGACTACAACTTGCATTACTAAAATAGTTTTGCACGCGCCTGCGAATCCAATATTTAACCTTGAACGCTCTTTCTTACCTCCAGCTCATATTTTTGTGCTTCGCAAAATGCCATTACGTTACTGTTCTTCCTTACACATGACATTGCTGGTTATAGCAGACACTTGTTTATCAGCCTAACCGATTGTCAGGTAGTTATCCACCCCAACTCGTCATTGTGCGCCTAAGCCGGGATAAATGAATGTGTAGTGTAAGAACTAAGCCTTCTACTTTCAAATGCCGAATGAACGTGGCATGCCATCATCATTTGAATTCAATGTTCTGTATGACGTATTAGGATAGGAAGTGACTTATCATACGCCAGTGAATACATGTAGTATTTTTCATACCTAAAATACTTTTATGTGTATGTACACAATGGCTCTTTTGTAAGGAAAGTGCAAATACTAGAGGGTGCATCAAGCAATGCGGATCATGAGGCACATATTTTATGTGGACAACTTCACAAAGTTATTTAATTAGGCAAGGATGGAATTTGTTAAAATACCACCTTCATTTCGTATAATGGACAGGAAAGAGGGGACATGGAGGCATCATCAAAACGGAGATCCTTCAAATACTGCGCAGAAAACTTGACATGCCTTGAGAGCTAATCAGGGTTGATTAACAGAGCAAACACGGCTATAACTGATACACGTCACTCCATACCGAAACTGCGGATAAGGTGTGAGAGACCAAAATATGTCAAATTTTGAACAAAAACTTATGATATGCGCGCAAAAATGAATGATAGCCTGTAATAAGGCCTATTGTCGCCTAAGTTTATTTTAGTGGCTGATTAGAGGCAATTTGCGTTATCGAAAGTTTCAAAGCAAGGGGCTTGTGCGGTATCAATAAGGCGAACCCTTGCGACCTAAAGTTTAAGAGAAGCCGTAGGGAACACTGTACTTAACGAACTTCGAATTGCTTTAAAAGATCTTGAAAAATTCTTGCAAAATCGCACGGAAAGTGTGCAAACTACTTTACAAGTCAATGAAGAAGGAACTACACGCTACGCCATGAGACTTGATTCTTCCTTTACTTTAGGGTATCTCCAAGAAGTGAGCTGAGGTGAATTTTCAAGTTAATCAAAATTTCTTAAATATTTCATACTGGAAGTTGCTTGTGGCGAGAAGTAAATGCAACGAAGGTGAAGCGTTCCCACCATTCCACTCCCCCGGCTAGCCTAAGAAGGAAAAAGAATCGCCATCCTGACAAATGTAATTTCAACAAGGATGAGCATCAAGTAATGCATTTTTAAAACTTCTCAAAAATTCACAGTAAAAAGCAAGCTTTCGGAGCATTTGACTGTCGTTAACTAAATACATCCTAAGTAATTCATGTCGTCACTGTTAAAAGTGGCAAGAGGAAGCATCGCTTATGCTTCCTTTAGCAGAACTTTGTTCAGCAAGTGCATTAAATGATCCAGTAACAACTGATTTTCGAGTGATGTTTTTTTGGACTAAATGTTGGTCACGGAGGGAGTTGGTGGTGATTTGAAGAGAACATGAGCATTACAATATTCTCCCTCACGGACTCACGCTACTATTCTGAGCTAGACAGTTTAGTAAGACATTGCAACAAGCCTAAAATAACATTTTATCAACCAACTAAGCTTGCAGTAATGCATAACTGTAACGCAAACACGTACATTTAGTAGTAGTATGCACAATGCCAACTATGCATGCACATGAATTTGCAAAACTCGTCTTTAAATGCCTTAATTTAGGCCAATTCCTACTCTGCTTTTAAATGGGTACATTGATGTCAATGTGAAGCACTGACACGAGTTATCTTTATTTTTAAGTACTCTAAGGCATGCAACTACACGCACTTTGTAGCCACTTGAAAAGTGGCATCG